GAAGGAAGGAAGGAAAAAAAGGAAGGTTAAAATCAGGAACTTGAACTATCATGCATCAATCAATACTGGTGTCCAACCAGTAACCCCCTTTAATTCTTCAACATACATCAAATCAAACTGCCAAGAGGAAGAATTTTTTAAAAAAAAGACTTAATGTACTCTTCTGTGATTAAACATACATACACACACACACACACATTTTGAAGCTTATATTCTCTGTGTTTACACATAACATGCACACTGTGACCTTTTAGAACACTGCTGTTCCAAGACTGTAAAACCATGTAAAACTTCTGCAACTATAGACATTATTACGTAAGGCTTCTCTGGATTTTTATTTTAAGACAAACAAAATAAAGCAAACACCAGAATCTCGTGAGCTTTGTCATAGTACTTTTTCATGGCCCAGTCAAAATTCTTGGAGAAAAGATAACAGGAAAGGTAGTATTTTATGTAAAGCTAAAAAAACTAGTCTAGAATGAGTTAACTAAATTATGAAAAGGCATATATTGAGTAATGGCACAATAAAGGCAGGAATTCAGGGTTTTTCTGTTTTCATTCATCTGGGAAAAGACCATGCAGCTAATGACAACCTAGCTCACCGCTCCCAACTCTGTACGTGCTTGGATTTTGACTAGGGTGACTACTGCAATAGTCCTACACTCCTAGTAAGGGAAGGGAAGAAAGACCTAGAGCCAGAAACAAGGAAGGAGTCCAGAGGAAGACAGAAGGCTGGGGGTGTGGGCTCAGTGGGTAGAGCACTTGCCTAACATGCAACGTTTTTAAAACACTGTTTAAAAGAGAGAGAAATGTGTGCTAATTTTCCTCATGCTCACCTTGGCAGCAGCTAACACTTGTTCTCTTTTTTGTGTGATATGGCAGAATTGGGAAGAAAAATACTTACTGGGTGCAGTGGTGCATGCCTGTCATCCTACAGACTTGAGAGGCTGACGCAGGAGGATCACAAGTTCAAGGCCAGACTCAGCAATTTAATGACATCCTGTCTCAAAATTTAAAAATGAATAAATACAATGGGCCAGGGATGTAGCTCTCTGGTAAAGCGCTATTGGGTTCAATCCCTGGTACCGAGCAAACAAAAAAACACCTCTAGGAAATAGATGGAGCACATTAATATGAAAAACCATTATTCCCTCCTAGGTTACTTAAAAGAGCTAGGGTCTAATCTTATGCAGCTACACAGCACAAAAGGCTCAAGTTCTTTGGACTTCTATTTCTTCATCTGAAAAAGCAGGAAGTTGGGTTGGCTTTAAATTTCTATGGGTTTGTATTAAGATCTTTTGAAGAAATAATGACTTATTTTCATGGACATAAAGGAGGAAATAAAAAGAAATCAATGTTTTAAAACATTTATCATGCTGGGGGCGCAGTGGTGCATGCCTGTAATCCCAAGGGCTCAGGAGGCTAAGGTAGGAGGATCAGGAATTCAAAGCCAGCCTCAGCAACAGGGAGGCGCTTAGCAGTGATACTCTGTCTCTAAATTTTAAAAAACACCAAATAGGGCTGGGGATGTAATTCAGTGGTGGAGTGCCCCTGAGTCCAATTCCCAGTACCCTCCCCCCCAAAAGAAACATTCATCATGTGCAAGACAAATAGCACAAGGGTTTTAAAAGGACAGACTCAAATGGCCTGTTTTTTTTTTTTTTTTTTTTTGTGTGTGTGTGTGTGTGTGTATTCTGTCATCTATTAAGCTGTGTGATTTTTGGCAAGTAACCTAACCTCTCCGTGTCCCCAGAAGTAAAATGGGAACAGTGGTACCTTCCCTAAAGGGAAGCTGTGAGGATTAAATGAATTTATGTGTGTGTGTACACACACACATACAGGGTTCTTTATACCTGCATGTACATCAAAATAGTAACTGGCACAAAGTAACTGTTCTATAAATGCTACTACAAACATTATCACAACTTGGTAAGATAGATCTCTCATTAAAAAAAAAAAAACTTAAAAAAAATGGACCAGAAAAGCTAAGCTTCAAAGCTTTCAAGTTTTTCTAAACTCCATATTCAGTATCTTAACTATTATCCTTTTCCAGTTAAAGAAGTGAAAGACACAGCATTTTGTAGGCAATTAAGGAAATTTTACCAGTTATACAACCATCAGTTAATCTGTATTCAGTGAATACAGAATAAAACCACATCTGGGGTGGGAGTTGTGGCTCAATGGTAGAGCGCTTGCCTAGCATGCTTGAAGCACTGGGTTTGATCCCTTGCACCACATTAAAAAAATAATAAATAAATGGTATTGTGTCCATCTGTAACTAAAAAAAAAAAAAAAAAAATCTGGAAAGTTCTCCAACCCTGTACAGTTTTGGAAAGTGTAACAGTATCTAATCTGCCCACGTGAAGGAACGCCCAATGCCCAAAGGGATTACCCTCCTGTTAGGAAGTCCAGTGAATGCGTGAATGACATCTCTTATGAAAGTTCTCAAGAGATGCAAATCGCCTACTTGAAATTCTGGGGCATTTAAATCTTCCTGGAGAAGTCTGTCTCTGGCCAGCAGGAGGAGACTTCTTTTAGGAGGAGGAATCCCTAAACCCTCTCTCCCAGAGGATAGGGAATGTTTTTAAAAAGGGTGTGAATGGGGAGAGCACTCCAGATTCAGGTATCAAAACCCGAGCCGAATTCCCATCTCAGAGTGAAATCCAGTATTACAGAGGAGAAAATACAGACGGTAGGAATTATGGAATCATTTACTTTTTAGAGAACAACGTGAAAATCCATTCAGCTGCTTTCACATTACAGGAAGAGGAACCCTGAAATAAATTCAGTAGTTTTGCTGAGAGTTCACAAGAGAAAAAGAAAGCAGGCTGAGTCTTAAAAGAGCCACAAGGAATAAAAGGAGAATCCAGAAAAGTAGTGAACTGGAGCCAGGAAAATGGTATTTGAATTCAACTCATCTTCTCAACGAATACGTGTTTCTTGCCTTTTGTCAGGTGGTGTGTCAAGAGCTGGTTCTACAGTTTTGATCAAGCAGACATGACCTGAGGGGACTTAGAAAGCTAGCCCCAGGAGTCAGAAACTATACATTTATTTTTGGTGTAGAGTGTATATAATCGCATACTGGTGCTATAACAGTTAAAGAAGGGTCTTTCAAGAAAGAGGGTGTCAGGGTAGAAGGTGTCTGCTCTAACCCAAATTTGCAGGAAGGCTTCTCTAAGCAGGTAACACAAAAGGCAAATCTTGAGGGTGAGTAGGAGGAGCTGGGGGGAGGGGCACTTCTACCCGGGAAACAGAAAGTGTGAAGGGCCTGAAGTAAGAGCCGATTTAACATTAGAAAGGCCAGCCTCAGCAACTCAGTGAGACCTGACTCTGTGATGCGGCCCCCGGGTTCAATTCCCAGCATGGGGTTGGGGGGAGGGGACAGTGATGGGGCACCAGTCCGGGTTTCTTGACCTCCAACCCTCTAGGATTTCCTTTGATACTCAGTATTTTGGAAATCTCTAATTAGCATACACTAAGTGCTTTCCCACGATAATCATTAATGAATCTAAACCTCATGAAAACAGATGCGCCTGATGGATTCACCTCCTTCTTACGTACCTTTCAAATGTCACCTTAGCCCAAACTGTACAAGTCCTTCTCAGAGTACTGACTCAATAGACAAAGTCGATCCCTCCCCTCCTGCATATAAAAATAGCTTTTCCGTATCTACTGCTGTAACTGGCCTTTTTCCAGGGCTTTCTGCTCCGCTGAAACAAAACACTTAAATGAGCAATTTGACTCTCGTTTTTAACATAGGAAAATGACATTTCTGTCTGTTTTGAGAGGTGAATTTTAAATTGTTGACTTATAGCTAATCCCATGTAACACCACAGAAGCAAAAAAACACTTCTGATCCCCTTTCGGTGCCATGCATATAAACAAATAAAATGCACATCGAACCAGGTGGGGACAGTGACTTCGCAAACCAGCCTGGTTTTTGTGCTTCAACAGATAATGGAGACTGCTCAGAAGGCCTTCCGGCACCTTGACACGTTGCCTAATTTGGCCAGCAGAGGGAGACCGGTGAGTCCTCAAGCACCACATGGAGCCACACCCAGATTATGGTTGCTTATTATCCAAGTCTCTCTCCTCTCTCAATGTTCAAGAAACCCCACAGGAGACAGTCTTCTCAAGAAAGGCAATTTTTTTTTTTACTAAGGTAAAATTCACATAAATGAAAAATTACCATGTTAAAATGAACAATTTAGTGGCATTTACCACTTTCATGTTATGCAACTGTCCCTTCCATCTAGTTGCAGTCTAATAAATGCTTACATCTTATGTAACGACGACTGGCAAAATCGCATCCCTGTTCTACCCTCCTTATTTCGTCACATTCCCAGTTTTCGTCTCCACCTGCATGATGTTGGGAATGGTCCCCACACATTCCCCCAGCCAGCCCTCTTCACTATGCGATTCGATTCACAGAATCTGACTCAGTGTTAAAATGACATGTTCGAAAACCAAAGAATCTCAATTCTTCACTTCTTCCTCTAGGAACTGCACAGTCGCAATCGACAGGCAGTATGGGTGACTGTTTTTACATTTCTATACCTTATTACGTTGTCATTTCCCAGCAGTTCATAAATCATTTTAATTTAAATATAGTTACAAAGCGGAAATGAATAATGAGCTGCACAAAACCCCTTCAGTCTTTGATGGGAAATTTGAAGTTATTTCTAGGTTAGCATGAAAACCAAGATTTTAAGGGCACCATGTCAACTGGTGAGATAACAACTAGGAGAAAAGCAGAACCAAAGGGCTAGTATAACAAAAGCTGAAAGTTTACAACCTAGATTTACTTTTTAAAAAAAAAATAAAGAATTTAATCTAATTCATGGGGTCTTGGCCCAGGAAAGGGTAAAAAAATGCCAAACTGGAGAGGCAGGGGGAGGGGAGTAGCTGTTGGTGACTAGGAAAGTGGGAGGGAGGGAAACGAGCGGGAATGAGGCCGGTTCCGCCCTAACAAAGAGGCAGAAACTGTGTCTCAACAGCCACCAGATCCAGTTCAGGGCGGTTTGAGCCAGTTTCTGAGCTGGATTGAGAACAACAGCCTCGGCAGAGACTTCACTAGGGTGAAACATAAAATGCAAAATGGATTTAGTCGAAAGAACCGGATTTGGCCTGGACTCGCTGGAGCCTAAAGCTGTTTCCTGGAGTAGCAAAGTCAGATAAAATATGAGGCCTGGACCAGGAACAGTGACCTGTTAACGGAAGGAAAAATTACAGAGCACAGTCCCTGTGCCATAATCCAGTCCGCATTTTCCCCCTCACTGCTCTTCATTGTGGCTGGTAAGGGAAAAAGGGCCTCAGGGTATCAGTTTTCAGAGAAAGCTGGCTGCGGTGTTGGGGGAGGGGAGGATAATGTGTCCTGGGTAGTTTAATGTGTGTGCCTGGTATGTGTGTGGGGGAATGTATCAGAGAGTCTGAAAGAGAGGGAAGAACACTTCACACCCTGTTCACACCACCTTTCCACACGTTTGCTGCATTATTGCACCACAGCAAAATATGCTGCACTTACCGTGTGGTGGGAGCACCCTACATACAATTAACACTTGGATAGACAATGATTAGACCTCTTCCGCCCTGTGCACTAAATGACAATACATGTGCTGTAAACATGTTCCTTTCCTCTGTGTCCAAAAATATATAGATTGTACATATAAGAGAGGCAAGCAGCTACGTAATTTGGGAATAATTCTGTCCTCGCACCCCCTCCCCCAGGTGCCAGAACCTCCAGATGTCAGATTTAGTCCCACCCTGAATGGCTTCTCTAATTGAAAGGCTCCTAGTCTTAGCTGTGGTCCGCAGCTGTCTAGGGTGTCCACATCCTGCGGCCAAGTTCAGCTCAGCCTACCCAGACTAGTTCAACACTTTTCTCTTTTGCACCCCGGAAAAAAGCTGCAAAGGCTAGGTCTGCTGGGAGTAGGGGTGGGGCGAATTCCTTCTTAGTGTCCAAATGTGTTTAGAATCTTCCAGTCACCAGGTAAGTGCCTCCTGATTCCAGCTTTCTCAGATTTGGAAGCCAGCCCTGGTGCAGGGAGTGGGAAAGGGGGGCGGTGGAGCTTATAGAGCTTACAAACAGTTCCTGTTACCAGCCCAGATTCTGTAGGTTTAAGAATACCCTGAGAGATTGATAGAGGGGCAAGGGAGGCAGTCAAGCTGAAAGATGTCAAAAAATTCTATTTTATCCCTTAACCATAGATACATTGATGGACAATTGGAACCAACCCGCTTTGCATTATTGCATGTGACATTCTAACGTATAAGAAACTTGTTATTACTGGTGTGTTCTAATTAGGAAGCACTTCTACATTCATTTCATTAACTATTAGACCTGGGCTGCTATGGATTCTGCTACAAGATTTTTTTTGTTGTGGTTGTTTTTTGTTTTACTTAGGGAGGATGTGTCTCCCCATATAAAGATGCAGTAAGCTACTGAGGAGATAACAACAGTCATAATATTGACAGCGCCTAAGCCAGACATTGTATGAAATATTCACATCGTAACTGATCTTAATTTAGTACTCCTCCTAAATCTGAGTTATTACTGGCCCCATTTTAGAGATGAGGAAAATGAAGCTTAGAAAAACAAGGTATTTTATTTACATTACATATCTGTAATGTGGCAGGCAAAGTTCATGGCTCCAGAATCTCTGCTTTTAACTTGTTACTATGCCACCATCTCAGTGGCAAATGATTTACAAACTCCTTTTCAGACCCTACTGTGTGTCAGCCTACTTTGGACTAAGGGGAATAACGTCATAGAGACAGGGGAGGAATTGATTCAGTGATGAGAAGGTGATTCCTGCCTTCAACAAGCTTTCAATCTAATAGCTTTTTTTCCCAAGGACAATTCAGCACAGTCTGACAAAGCCCCCCCCCCCACACACACACCCTGCCTCTGGGGTTTTGAGGCCATCTGGAAAATACAGTTTGGGATTCTCCTGCTGTGTGGGGAGGAACATAAGACATAGGGACTGATCTGGTACTAGCAGGCAGCACAGGCAGGCGAGTAAAAAGGGGCAGGGCGAGGCCTCTGGGGACACGTAGCCATGGCAACCTAGCCTGCTTTCCAGAACAATGTCTCTAACCAAGAAAACACTAGAGAGAGCTTTCCCTTTATAATCCCCAAAGGCCTGTCGGGCCAGAGATTGCACAAAGGGGATTCTTTCTCTATAGAGAAATGACACTTACAAGGCCCAGAAACAAAGGGAAACAATTGTTGTATAGGATCCGCCTTTGTATTTGGCTGGAGGAAAATCAACAAAGCAACTTAGTTCCTTTTCCACTCTTCACAGGAAATGAACACTGCTTTGTTCTGAGAGCTTCCTCTTTTTTTCTTTTTATATAATATTTGTTGTAATTTTTCTTTTATCCCATTTTACAGATGAGAAAGATTAATAAGCATGACTGGATCTGATGACTGTAAAACTATAATTTTCAAAGCTCAGTGTCCCTTTTAGGTTTTGTGCTTTTAGGTGGCCCTGCCTCTGCCGATTTTGTGATAATCCTACCAGATGATGTGAAGAACGTGTGTATCCACGTGCTCGGGCCCAAGGAGCCACTGGCACTGCTGCTCTGGTCCACCAGTGCTCGGCTTGATGCCACTCGCCCCTCCCCCGCACCCCGCTGCAGCCTGGAGGAGGAGGAGGAGGAAGAGGAATGCGGAAGGCATTCCAGCTCCGCCCCTGCAAGCCACCACTCCTGCCGCGGGTTTAGGAAACTCCTAAGTGGGCTGAAAGAAGACAGCCAGCTGGTGACTGTACTTCTCCAGATTTCCAAATGATGTGTTCTACAGCCGCACTACACCCTGCGCATTGATGGATGTTGGTAGCTGGGCTGAGCCGGGTTGTGACCTCGTTAAAGATGAGCACCGGGTCTGTCGCAACTCGCAAGGCCAGGAACAATAGCATAGTAATAAATGATTTTCCGTAAACGCCTACCTATATAAATAATGTAATTTTTTTTAAACAGTTATATGGACCAGAAGGAGTGAAATATCTCCTGATAGTAAAAGTCTTGCTCTACGGGTGCAGTGGCGCACGCTTTTAATTCCAGCCACTCAGGCTGAGGCTGAGCCTTGGCAAATTCGAGGCCAGACAGACAATTTAGACCCTAAAAATTTTCAAAGGGGCTGGAGATGTAGTGCAGTGATAGAATACTTAACGTGCACGTGGGAGGCCCTGAGTTCAAACCTAGCGCCTCAAATTTCTGCTGCTGGAGCACCCAGTCCATCATAAAATTGGCAAGATCGAAATAATGACCGAGTCCTCATCTTCAGTCCTTTTGTGCAGTAATGAATAAGGGAGGTAAATAGGTCACATTCTCCTATATGTGAATATAAAGAAATGCCTGAGGAGATTTAAACTACACTTTCCACTTCAATCCTAGAGATTTTGTTGCCACTTAGTGATAGTGTCTGGCCCAACAAAGATGAGAACCACTTCCAGAGAGCCCTTACTAGGAGATATTTGGGGGCTGGGGGTATAACTCGATGGTAGAGTGCTTGCCTAGTATTTACAAAGCCCTGGATTCTCTCTCCAGTATCTCTCATATCTCTTCATTCAATATTCATTTAAATGCTTCCTAACAATTAGGCACCATGGTACTATTTACTGTGCTAGACCTGTGAATCTAAAAAATCACAAACAGCATGGAACTTCTTTTCAAAGAACTTACAGACGCAGCCGAAAATCAGCACGGAAAGTGTGATGTGACATATGCTTTATAAAGATAGAGGCAAACTGAGTATGGTGGTGCATGCCTGTTATCTCAACAACCCCGGGAGGCTGAGGCAGGATGATCGCAAATTCCGGGACAGCTTCAGCAATTTAGGGAGACCCTAAGCAACCTTGCAAGACCCTGTCTCAAAATTAAAAGAAAAATGGCTAGGGATGTGGCTCAATGGTTAAGTGCTCCTGGTTCAATTCCTTGTACCAAAATGAAAAGAAAGGAAAGACAGGGGCAAGACGATGTGCTTGAAGAGCGAAAGAATATGAAAACGGTAGACAGACTCCTCCAAAAGAACTGCAAAAAGAGATGGAGTTAGCTAGAATTATATCAGACCCAGGGATCATAAAAACTAGGTTTTCATCACAGATTCAGCTTTCAGGCAGAAATAAAAGCATCCAAATGATAACAGAAAGCTAAGAGCTGAGGTCCCAAGGCTGGGTCTTTTCAGGACATGAAACAGGAGGATGACCATAGTCAGGAGAATTCATCTGTTTCTTTACCAGGAAGCTTCCAAGTGTCCTCATAGGATAATAACTAGTGCACAAACATGAAGAATCCTGAAAAAAAGGTAAGCATTTGACATGCAGATTTCAACACCCAAAGTACTTTAAAATTTCAATGTAATATTTGTAAATTTAGAATTATTAGCATATTATTGGACCTAATATAAGATTTGCAATTAGAAAAATGACATTGAGTCAATACTAATGTTTTCACTGAAGATTCCAAGTGTCCGTTATTGAGACCTGTTCACACATTTTAGGGTGTGGTCTAACATCAGCATTTAAAGGAGGGCCTACGCCCATGCTGTGGACCCTAACATCCAATCTATTTAACCATTTCAGGTTTTAAAGGACAAAGTCAATGGGGGGGGGGGCAGGAGAAATATTCTTTAAGAGATCTGGGGAAATGTGAAAGGTGGATTGCAGAAAGTCTGTTATCACACTACCACGCCAAAATATTTGCAGACAAATCTTTTCTTCTTGTATTGGTCTGTTTTGTGTCGCCTTGAAAAAAACAAACTACAGCAGCCAAAAAACAAACAAACAAACAAACAACAACAACAAAAACTGAGGCTGGGTGACATAAAGTAAAGAGGATTATTTGGTTCACGACACTGGGTGAATATAGGGTCTAAACAGCATAATATTAGTGACCTGGTAAGGGACCTCTGGCTGTGTTACAACATGGCAGAAACCTGAAAGGGAATTTACTGTGTGACGTGTAGAAGGAAGAAAGTATGTGGGGTGGTCTCATTTTAATAAACCTCTTGCTCAACTAATCCATTCATGCAAGTCACAACCCACTCTTTTCGATCAACACTAACCATTCATGAAGGTGGAGTCCCTCTGACCTAATTAACTTCTACTAGGCCCACTTGAAGGTTCTACACACTGGAGACCAGTTTCTAGCACATGAATATTTGGAGAACAAACTATATCCAAATAGGATAGGTCTTCAGTTTGGAGTCACGATGTACTATTGTATTGTCTAATCTCTGAAATTACACATTTACTTTGGTCAATAAGAGAGGAGGTGATATGTACCACTTTCAGGAAAAACTGGGATCTAATAAGCATATACTGCTCTCTTATACTATCATTGGAGAGCTCAAAGAAGCATGTTGAGTTGACATGTCTTTCACCCAGAGTCGTCTTGCCAAGGCACATTAGACATGTAGTATGAGAAAGAAACAAATTTTTCATGTGTTAAGTCATTGAAAATTGGTGGATATTTGTTCTGTGGTACAAACTAAGTTATCTTGATTAAGTCATCTTTTAATAACCATTCCCTATCCTAATTCTTCCTATAGACAGTCTTCTGCTTAAGAAACAACTCACAGCAGCTGGGCATGGTGACACAGGCCTGTAATCCCAGTAATTCAGGACACCGAGGCAGGAGGATGGAAAGTTCCAGGCCAGTCTTGGCAGTTTAGTGAGACCTTATCTCAAAATTTAAAAAAGGAAGAAAGAAAATTAAAGACTGTCCCACATTCTTTTTTTTATATTAAGAAAGGGGGCGCCAATTGCTGGGTTTCTTTTCGGGAGACTAAAAGGCTCGGGGGTCACTCTAGTTGAACTGGGCTAACTGGGCTGCACAAAATAACCACACAAGAGACACAAATACCTTTTTCTTTGGGGTCGCTGTGACGGCTCCTCTGACCTTAAGGGTCCGCAGAAAGAGAGAGAGTGAGAGCATGGGCTGACCCCTTTTTGAGGGAAGCTATTCAAATGAGGCAAGGGGTCAGGTTTCAGGGGGCTGAGTCTATCTTCATGATGTCCACTGTCAGCAGGTTGACTGACACCTGGGTAGACTACACCCAAGGGCACAGTAAGAGGAGGGGACACACACAAGGCACTTCCATGGAAGATTCTATCCTAAACAGGGCAAGGGGTTATATTACAAAGGAACAGGTGAGCGTAGCTTCACCCATGGGGCTGTAGCAAGACACACTCATCTCTATAACTGAGCGCCTCAGCACCCAGCTGGGGAGTGTAACTCAGTCACCCCTGTAAGTTGGCCTCCCACAGGACTGGAGTTGGAGCTCAGTGTCAGAGACCTCTGAATTCAATCACCAGTACCACCAAATCAAACCAAACTGACTCCAGCTCCAGTCCCTGGGTTTGGATCTTGTTAAGCATAAATCAACTGGGTTGATATTATTCTCTTAATGATATTTGTTTAGTAATTGGAATATGACCCAAATCTGCCCAGTGAAAAGTGAAAAAGGAAAAAAATTTCTCAACAGGAAGACTCAGAAAAGTTTCTCAAATGAAGAAGAAAAAAAGAAAAGATGGGAATATTTATTCTACTTTATGGAATAAAGTGTTGCCCAATTCTGTAATGAAAAATAAAACCAATTAAAATCTTTGAACTAAAAAAAAAAAAAAAAAAGCTGGACACCAAGGCAGAATCCCAGCAGCTCAGGAGGCTAGCCTCTGGGTTCAAATCCCTAGTACAAAAAAAAGAAAGAAAGAAAAGAGAGGGCTGGGGATGTGGCTCAAGCGGTAGCGTGCTCGCCTGGCATGCGTGCGGCCCAGGTTCGATCCTCAGCACCACATACCAACAAAGATATTGTGTCCGCCGAGAACTAAAAAATAAATATTAAAAAATTCTCTCTCTTTAAAAGAAAAAGAAGAGATTCACTTTTTTATTGTTGTTCAGAATGTGGTAAGGGCCCTTCCAGAACAATAGGCTCTCCTAGAGCAAACAAAGAGGAGAGGTGGCATACTCAGTACCTATGTGTGCATGCACAACTTTGTTGCTTTTCTATAATACAGAATACCCAATCAGAATGTATATTACCATTTAGGGGAAACAAAGGGGCTAACAAGTAAAGTGGGAACTAACAGGATATATAAAGCAACCCCCTGCTGTGCTAAGGGTTCAGCCTTTGGAGGAAATCATCCAGCTGGGTCAGTGCTGGCATTAATTAACAGTGCTTCCTGGCTGAGAGCCTGGGTGTTTTATCTCTCTGTGCAAGAAGGCTGCAATATTTCTTGGGGACTTGTGTCCAGGATTTGGAGACCATGTAAGTGCCAGGATGCCAGGAGAGGTGATCTTCCCTAGAATGAGCAGACCAATTGATCTGCAGAGGATTAGCCCTCCTGGAGTGCTGGGGTCCAGAGCAAAAAGGAACCCAGTGGAGCCACGGAATTAGCACAGGGACAGGTAGGAACTGCCCTCAGTGGCAGAAGGGAAGCCTGATCACCTTCCAGATTTGTCTGAGTAGTCTCACTTGCATAAGACTAATCGGCAACTCAAGGAAACTGGGATGAGGGCTGAAGATGTTGTGTGAGAGTGAGATGGACAAAGAGAGTTCTAACTCAACCAAGAGCTAAAGTGAGTGTGGAGTCCTGCTCTCTGGGTCCATAGTGATCCTCATACAGCTTAGGGTAGCTCTCCTTGGAGGGGTCCTGACTCTGGGGCTTCTACCATCCCATGAGTGCTAACAGACCCCCAAAATATCTCTGTGAGGAGAGTGGCCAGAAGAAGCAATTGCTCACCCCTTTCCCCTCTCTCTTTTTGTGTGTGTGATTGTCATCTTTTAGGAGGAGGAAATGGTTGGGAAACAGAACAAACCTACCCCCCCCTCCCAGAGTGTATGATAAAAATTTTCAAAAAAAGAGATTCCAGAAACTATGGAGTCAAATTGACTCCCAGAAAACTGAACCTTCTGTGAAATAGATCGGCCTTCATTTGGAGT